GAGGCCGGGGCGGGGGGCGCCGGGCGGCCCTGGCCACGCGCGGGGACATGGGGCGCGCTCGCTCTGCGCTGCCCTTCGTTTGCTGACGTTCATTCGCGCTTATTGGCGCGGCGGGGCGCGATGCCCCGGGCCGCCCGGCCGCGAGAGCCCCCGCGCGCTCGTGGGCAGCGGCTCCTGCAGCGTGGGCGCCGCCCTGCGCCCCGCGCGGCCTCCCCGCGCCGCGCCCGCCGGCTGCGGCCTCGGGCCGGGAACAACCCGGGAAGGGCGCGAGGGAGGCCCCGGCTCCGGGACGAGGATGGGGCTGGAGCTGCCGCCCGCAGCAGAGCCCGCCTCGCACTGGGTGTTTTAGTCTGCTTTTATCCGGGTTTATTGGTCCGTGTTCACTTTATTACCCATGTTTTTCTTCCCATTTATTACACTTTTTTTTTGTCTGCCTTAGGCTAAAGGCAGAGTGCTTTAATCATGTTTCCATAACACCTGAAATGAGCTCGGAGCACTCCAGCTGGAACTGGATTTCACACTAGTTTCTTCTGACCATCTTGGCAAGGTTTTGTAACCAGGAGCAGACCGTTTTGCTGTTACAGTGGTATCACATAGCCGTTTTCGTCCCCMTTTCTCTGTAGCAGTAATTAAGATCGAAGCTTGTGTCGCTTTCTCTCGAGTCAATTGCTGCAGAGATAAGTGCTGTTATCAGGTGTGTAGCGGCCGAGATAGGAAGTTTCCTAGGCTTTTCAGTGGGGATAAAGGAGCTGGTCTGTGCTCTTCTAACCTTAAAATGTTGTTCCCCGCTCTCACAGGTTCAGGGAGCCTCTGTCCTCTTTAAAACATTGCTGTCCCAGTGTCTATGGAGCGAGTGTCCCGGCCTCTGGGTCCTCCGTGGTGCCGGTTCCTGCTGCTCCCCTTGTCAACCCCTGYGGAAAGGGGCACACGGGGCTGCTCTGTGCAGTCCTGCCACGGTCCCGAAAAACGTCTCTCTGGAAGGAATAGTCGTGGATTAATTGACCATGAAATTAGGTCATTCTTGACTTCTTCCCAGCCACTACAGAGTCCTGCTGATGACCTACTTGCTGCTCTTTTTGATTCCCTTGGGATTGAGATCAGTCGACCTCCCTGTGAGGGGGTTTCTTAATATTCCCTCTTTTGTGAGGGGTGTTGCCCCTCTGCTTCAGCAGTTTCTGCTCATCTGAAGCACGTGGATATCTTTGAAGGCCGGAGTAGCTCTGTACAAGCCAGAGCAGCCCTGCTCTATCTCATGCTGAGAARTTAGTGTTTGAGGCTGTTTAAACAGTTGACAATTTTTTTTTTGGTAGTACAGGGTTCAGAAATGTAAAATATCTTTGAATATTGTGTGACCGTGCTAGACTTAGAGCATTCATGATGAATATGGGCAGAATAGCAAAATATGACTTGAAGGGAGAGAAGAGAGATGAGATGATGACTCTTGCTTTAGAGTGATCCGTTAGGGATGCTCCACATGAATCTCTCTCAGTATTTCACAGTCCCTCCACAAAYATGTATTGTCTGAAGTGGAAATAGCAGCTTCTTTTTGTACATTTCCTTACTWAGTAATGGGGGTAGTCATCATTATAAATTACAGTATAATGATTTTGTTAATTCACTTGTTTTTATTAATGTTGTTCCAGATTTGTGGGTGCTATTTTTCTACCAGCTCTCAACACAACACYAAGTTTTATACTGATCCTGTGGAAGCTGTGAAAGATATACCCAATGGGGCAACTATACTTGTTGGAGGTAAATACTCAATTCTTTATGAACCATTTTTTTTTTAATCCTGTTACTACTTTTACCTTGTCCTTCTTTAATTAATTCAGTAATACATATTGTTATGTTGGTATTTTAAACGAATTCTTACTGCTACTTGTAGGGCATTTTTTTTTTCCAGTAAGAAAGTACCTGTTTCCTTCTCAGGGAAGGAAGAAACAGCAGAAAAAAACCTGTTATGTTTCCCTTTAATGAAATAGTAGATTTTACTTGTGCCAGTCTGAATGCAAAATATTCACTTGTACTTTTCAGGTTGGTGTTATTATTTCAAATGGTGTGAAGTTTGGGTTTGATCAAGTTTATGGTGCYATTCTCTATATTCTTTAGTTCGTTGTTACTGACACTTTGACGCTGATCCAATCATGTAACCTGTTTCTAGTTGAGAAATGAAAATATCTACGTTATGCTAAATGGGTATGTGTAGTATTTTCAGAAGAGTCAAGAAATTGTGTCCCACTGGGTTTCAGTATGTATTGAGTTTTTGAGTCTTCTAGGTGATTTTCAGAATTTCATCAATTCAGTCCAATTTGAAGAAAGTCTGTCTATATTGCAGCTGATTTTAGTCCTGAAAAATAATTAACATTACAAAATGTAGGAAACATCATTGCATATGTAAAATGAGGCAAAATGAGAACAAGGGAGGGTCTGCGGCTAAGTAATTTGGAACAAATATTAAGCCCTGCCTAAGACTTGAGGTGTTTCACATGTGGTGTTCTCCCTTGCTAGGCCTAAGGGCAACTCAGCCTGGGTGGGGACCTGGGTTGTTGGGCTTCCTATCACAGATCTTCCCCATCAGGTTAGGATTCCCAGATTTTTATCACCTAATGATGGGTGGTACTGTACGGGAGAGCTCCTCACTCCTGTTAACCCCTGCACAGTCAGGGCTTATTTCACCCTGAGAGGATGAAATAACAAGTATAATGGCATGGTGGAATGGCAGGGTTGTGCATGGGGAGAGCCAGAGTTCTCTAGCCCTCTTCAAAGGCCCTGCATGTAACAGCTGAACTGTTAGCTAAATAGCTGGTCATTCCAGGTGATTCCAGCACATATAACTGAGTACAGGATTTTGAGCAAACTTCTTAGGTTTAAGTGCTTCAGTTTCAGGTTAGGTGCAAAGATGATTACTGTGCACTGCTCCTATTCCAGGAAGGTTTATTTTCAGAAGCATTGGGCCCTCTGGTCCTCTGGGAAGCTTGATCTCGTCTATTCAGAAGAAACTTTCAATCAACTAGTGCATTTTGTTAGACTTGTGATTTAACTCTTTTCTTTCCAACACTTCTTGTGTATTCAGTTTTCTTTATTCTGCATAGGTTTTGGATTATGTGGGATCCCTGAAAACCTCATAGGGGGGCTGCTGAAGACGGGAGTAAAGGGAATAACGGCTGTGAGTAACAATGCAGGGTAGGTATTAATTGAAGTCTCTAGCCAAAAGGTACAGACTGAAAAGCACCCAGCTTACATGGGCAGATTGATATATGACTTTTCTTTGTATAAACCTCCATATTAATTCACTTTGCTGTGTTTGCTAGTGTTATTTTTGGAGAGACTTTAAAAAGTACAGGATAGTGTATCCAGTTTTGTCAGGGAGTAGTTGTCGTGTCTGTAGAACATTGCAATTATATGTATATTTATATGCATATATAACCAATGGATTACAAATGAAGAATCTTAGATGTGGTATCCATGTTTTTTTCTGTGTCTAAATAATTAGCGTTTTTYTAAAATCTGCTTTCTACCAAGTTTTAGTTCAGTTGTTAAAACACAGAGAATGTTTATAGCAAAACAATGGAGACCTTTTTAGTAGTTTTTTTTTCTTTCTTAACATTTGTTCATTAAGAAAGAGCGAGGTTGGTGGAATATTTTTATATCATATCTATAACTTCGCAGCTTCATAYTAGAATTTTTTTACAAACTGTTCACTATAATAGACATCTAATAAATGTTAATAACAGCATCTATAACTTCATATAGAGAAATATTTACAGCAACTTCTGTTAAACTGCATTGATAATATAGAAATGAAATTAAAGTAAAAATACTGATAATGCAGATTGTTATATTTGAAATTRGCCTGATCAGAAAGACTGATACTTTATTCTTCTTGCAATGTATTGTCATATGACTAGTATCTGTAGGTCACTTTAAGGGTAGTTACTGTAGTTACTTAATGACTTGCTGTATTAMACATAACTCTCAGCTAGGTAATAAGCCCAGGATAACTGGATTAATTATGGATTTGAAGAAGGTCGCATAACTGATGACTCTTGGTGGCATTATACTTTCTTAGACAATCTTTCCTTCATGAATTGGTTCATCATAAACTTTTCATGTTCAATAACCTGTTACAGCTCAGCGTATGAAGTTACAAGCCGTATCTGCAAAGGAAGCTAGTTTGTTAGTTTTTTTATTATTTTTATCTTTTTTTAGGTGTTGCTTATATTCTGCAAACAGTAATATCTGTTTTATTAAATTTTCTGTGAACTCTTTACTTGAGTACTGTGTTTATGGCACTGTGTTTATTCCTTGAATTGGAAGTCTCCATCTGTTCTGTAGAAGCCCTTGCCTTATAGCAAGCATGTAGAAGCATTTGTAGGACTGCAGAACAAATGATGTAGGGGAGACAAGTTTGGGAAGTTGTTCTCTCCTATGACTGTACCAGAATACAAGAAAAAGAGTTTGTCGTGTGAACCAGAAAGGCTGCCTGGGTATGAAGAGGTTGATTACCCATGTGGAGTAAAGTAGATGTCAAACTTCACTTCTCCATCCWTGCCAAACAACTGAATTTTGTTGAATCTTTTTAGTAGAGCTTGGTGCAGCTTTAAGCTGTGTCACTGAATCCCCCATATACCTTGTCCATAGGTTTATATCCAAATATTAGTGTTTCTTTTTAACCACACCATGATTAACATGAGTTAAAACCAGAATACAATTTAAAAATGTCATTTTAAAATCCCACTCTACTGTTTTAAAAATTATTGTCTATTCTTGTGCTATTGAACCATCTTGTTTTAATTTTTATTTAAATCACCTCTAATAAAGTTTCTGGTTAATAGAACAAGGAAACAGTGAACAATTTTTATGAGTCTTTTGCACTATCTTTTCAAATGCAGATTTAAACGTTAACAAGAGTTTCCATTATTATCTACAGTGTTGGTGATAGTGCAGGCTGGATGATAAGATAATAGTGACCTGTAGATTGTTGGAAGACCTCTTTTTTTTTCTYCTCTTACCTTTTATCATTGCTTCCTTCAATATTACTTGCTAAAAGCTTGATATCAGGAGCTAAAAAATTGAATAATAATGTTTTCAGTAAATTTCTTTGTATACGTCAACTTGAGAATCTTGGAATATTCTTTTCAGCAGTGATTATGACACTCCTGAAGTATCTGATTAAACTGGCAAAGTATGTGGCCAATCTACTCCATTGCAAAAACTCTGATATTTAATAAAAGGTCACTTGGTTATTGATGGAATCTAATTAAATAAAGTTATAAGTTATTGATATTTAGTTTTATTAAGTTCCTCACTTCTCTTCTGTTTGGATTCTTTTGCCAGCCTTAGAAATAGCCCACCAGTCTTAGAAGGAGAAGCAGCTGTTTTGTGTTGTAGTTTGTGTATTTGTGGTAGTATTCCAGCCTAGAACTAGCCCTTCTCAAAAGAACAGTGTCTTCCCTGATAGTTCTGCTGCCTTTGAGGTTGGGGAGAGATGTGGTAAGAAGGTGGCTTAATGGCAAAGCGGAGCTTAACACAGCTCTCCCTGGAATGGTTTTTCCATGAACACTCCTGCAGTCAGATAAGCCCCTCAGAGGCCGCGTGACCGTCCGGGCCTSCTCCTGGCCCGCTCAGGCACTGCTGGTATTTGGTCCGAGGCCAGGACAGACTTGTGGAACCTCTGCGGATTTTCCAGGGACTTCACACTCACATTTGCCTTTTCCTTTCATAAAGCAGCTGCTGACGCCTGCTGTTGAGCAGTTGGAGGGATTGGTGCTGAGGAGCAGCAGTTCTTCCAGGCTTTCCTTGTGGAAGTTGTTGTGTGCAATCAGAACATGTAAGGGGACATGCATAGGATCTAGCTTATGAGCTGGCCAGCTTTTGATCTCTTGTCTCATGCTGAACAATTCCTTCTACTTTGAAATTCACTCCAGAAGAAAGTTTAGTCTAATGTGTTCTTTTTTATCTATTCTATTACTGTTATATGGAGCTGAGCCTGCTGTAATTCTGTAGGATTTGGGAGCCACATTAAAACAGATAGTGTCATTGATAAAGTCAGGATACTGCTTTGACAGTAAATTATACCAATTAAGTCAAATTGCTGAGAAAGGYATAGTGAACGGCCAGATACTGTGATAAATAGATGAATAAATACTAATAAATAGATTTGAAGATGGAAGTAACCAGCCCAACCTTCGTATATACTGCAGTAGCAGTTCTGGAAGGCTGAGTTGTGCCTACAGTCTTAGACTGTCAGGTACTTTGGGCAGGTCCCTGCTCTATTTGTGTACTAACTGTCAGGGAAAGTCCTTRTTTTTACCCTTCACGGACTGGCCTGGGACTGTCTGTGCAGTAGCACAAGGGTGTGCTGCTGGACCTCCTGCGTTTAGACACGGGCTGCTGCTTCCAGGCTTTGTCTTTTGCTCGGTGTTATGCAAGTGCCTGTCCGTGTGCTGGCTTGCGGAGCAGCCCCTTCAGGGGTGGTTACTCTTTCACCAAGCCAAACAAAGCAAAGTGTTGCAAAGAGAASCAATACAGATAGCCAGTATCTCTGATATTTGCACAAGTCACAGCAAGGAAGCTGGGCCTGTCAAGGGAATTGGGGAAAGTTACTCTGGTAGGTGGGTGTGCTGCTAAAATACCCCCTCTTGTACCTTCCCATGCAACTTGTTTTGTCTACATTATACATACTTTAATATTTTCTTGGCAGTATTCAATATGCCCTTTTATAGGTAGGGCTCTGTCTCCTTAAGGGGCCTAAAATCTGTTTTATTGAATGTCTGTGGCACGTTGCTAGCATTTGCTTAGCTCACTGCCCATCCACACTCCAAAGATGTTTTGCAGCAACCTTGTTTCAAATCTTGACGTAGTAAATCCCATGTRTAGTTCTGGTTACTCTGCAAGGCTTTTAATGCACGACTTTTGTCATTTGCCCTTTGCTTCATGGTGATCTTGACTTCATKGTTACACTAGACTTGAACACGTTAGGTCAACTCGAACTGTGGTAGGAGAGTCTTAGCATATCAGGCCTATTGTTTCAGGACCAGTGTTGCAACAAAGCTATGTTCTTACAGCTAACAATCAACAAAAATAAATATTAAGAAAGTTGAGTATTTGCGCCAGATGACTAATTACTATTATGCTTTATGAAATGGATAACTGATTTGGGATATAAATTCTAAGATGAATTATCTTCTATCTCTGTCAGCGTCAATAGACTGAATTTGGGATGGGTGAAAATGAAGTCTATAATTTATACTGGTTGTATATAACCGTGCTCTGACAGGTGCATCAGATGAGCTCTTCTTGCTTTTATTGCCTGTTTTTGATGCTCTGTCTTTGATATATACTCTTTTTGAATGAAATAGTGTTGAACTATGTGAATGTYGTTGTGCTATTTACAGTAAGAAGTGTCTGAACAGTTACAGCTAATATCTCTAATTCCTAATCACTTAGAGGATCAACTAAAAGGAGAGTAACAGCATGTTATCAGATTATTGCCGATTCAAACTGTCTACTTAAAAGGCAAATCCTGTGTTTTGAACCTTAGATATCTGTGCTCTTTGTGGAGAAATTCTTTCTAGGCCACTATGTTTTGCCTTAAGAAGAAGAAAATATCTCTATGATAAACATTTGAACTTGGTAAAGGTGCATTAGTGAAAAAGAAAGAAATTTATTTGTAATGGTTTGTTTATATATATATAGTTATATATAAATATATTTATATATATATATATAGACCTGTGTTTTAAATAGGCCAACTGCAGTTGCTGAGCATTCAGGTCAGGAGCTATCCTTATATCAGTCTTTTAAAGCACAATTTAAAGAATAAAGTTGTTGCATCTGTCTGTGTTCCATATCCTAACGCACTAAAGCAATTACATACTTTCTCTCAGCAATTACATACTTTAAAACTAAAGGATTAGTATATTTTATCTATGTTTATTAAAGTAAATTTAAGATCTCGTGTCGGTCATTACTTTGAGTCATATGTTTCTGTTAAAGCCAAAGTGTCTACCACTTTTGCCACAGACTTTCTACTGAGGAATTTTTCACATAGTAGATCAATAAAGTGTAAAGAGGTTTTAATAGGCTCAAATTTATTAAAAATTCAAAGAACTTAAATGTAACAAAGTATATGATGGAGTGGGAAGAAAACTCATAAAATCACAAAGATATGACCAAAGTGATGCCTAGAATATTTTACAAAGTGAGTTTCATTTTTATGTACWTAAGGAATCCTCTGAACATCCCAACGTAAACATACTTTCAGAGATGAAATGTAAGGACATCCAAACTTTTATCCCTTTTGACAGGGTTAGATAAAAACCTACTCATAGCAAGTTTGCCACGGTAATAATGCTAAAAGCTTTGTAAGAATCTTTAATGCTAAGTTGATCTTTCTTTTCCTTTTCTAATCATCATTCTACATGAAGATTCTATATAGGTGCTTCACTATAGATTTTGTGTTGCTCATACTGTATGAACTGTAAGTTCCTGGAGCCATGCTGAAGTTGTCCTGCTAATTTTAGCATGGAAGTTGTTTCAGGTTTAGGTAGAGCAAATTGTATGAAACTTTGCACTACGTAAAACTATGGAGGAATCAGCCGTGYAGCTGGCTAGCTTGCTTGTTACAATTCCAAATGCAGAAGGCAAAACRGGTCTAAACCTCACAGTTATGGAGCTGTGAGTCATCTTGGGTTTAGAAGATCAACAATAAAAGTTAACTGTATTTACTAGCCRTGAAACTTGGGAAGCATGATGCGTTCTGCATGGAATTCAGATATTTGAAGGATCACATCTGTGCTGTGCAGAATATGGTAGAGAAAAGGTTTGTGAGTGCTGTGCATCGTTTCYTTTGTTTTAGTAAATGGTGCATTTCTGTGGAGGAGGACAGCAAAGGAAAGGCCCTGATGTGGGCAGTCGCTGTGAGACCGGATCAGAGATGAAGCTAGTGGAGCAGATAGGACAGAGTTCTCCTCAGAAGGCTTGAGTAGCAGAGGGAGAAGTGATGCACAGAAACTGCAGGGAAGGAGATTGAGGCTCAGTCGTGTTGTCCCGGATAACTTGCAGGCCAGGCTTCGTGATTCCCAGCAACCATGGACTCCCTTTTTTTCTTCCATTTCTGTTCCCTCAAAGTGAAGGAAGGCCCAGGCTGCTGAGCTGGGAGGTCTTCAGTGCACAAGTTCCTTTGCTGTGGGCTGGGCTGTGTCATGACCAGTTGTGTTTCTGGGGCTGTGAACTCCTTTCTGCTTCACCCCATCCTCTGACCTGGGCTGCCTTGGCTCCTGCAGCCCCTTCCTCCCTTCTGCCAGTCACCCTCCTTTCCGTTCCTTCTGCCTCTCACTAAGGATCTGATCGGGAGAGACAGGAAAATATTCTAAGCAAATAGAAAAAAATGCAAAATGAAAAAAAAAAAAAAAAAAAAAGCTGAAGGCAGTGTCTCAAGGAACGATGGGACAAATAAACATTATGTCTCTGTAATTTACCTGTGCATGAACTGAATCTATTTTTACCCCATAGTCAACTACGCTTCATTGTCTTCTCCTTGTTCCACATACTGTGCTGGGAGAGGGGGAAGGCAGGAAGCAGAAGGAGAATATTGTTTGAGCTGCTTCCTTGGTAATCTTTCAGGCTAATTTCTGGAGGAATACTGTGGGACAGAGTCTCACTGTTATGTGCCAGGAAGATAGCTGGGGAAGAGAAGTCATTAAGGTTTATATGAGCGATTGTCCTTGTGTTTGGTGTCTTCTGGCAAAGGGCATCTAGTGGGATGAGTGATGCTGCTTATGTTCTGCACAAAGGATTTAGAGGGTCATTGTCTGGTGCTGCCAGGATTACATTTTGTTTATCTTCTTGCAGAGCCGCTCATGTGCATCATTAAGAGCCTGAGGATCTCTTCAGCCGCATACCCTTTTTGTGCCATAGTTAAGGATGTCTCACGAACATGAAACCTGAGTTTGGGCATCTGAGACTTGCAAAAGAGCCCGTGGCTGCTGCATCCTGCTTGGGTGGGAAGCGTGTCCAGATATAATTGTCGAGAGAGAGCAGTGAGCGATAGKAAAGAGTAACAAGTAGTGTTTTGTAGGCACTTCAGAGTGCTGCCCTGGTGCYTGTGCTGATGGGACACGGGTACATCTGTTCTTTTGCTAGCTGGTAGTCCAGCCATCAGTCCCTGTTAAACTGTGAATAGACACTAACTGCTTGTTATATGTATTTGCTTAGCATCTTTTGTATTGAGAAGTGGGGGTTTTGTATTCCTGTGAAAGGGATTTGCCTGGTATTAGTGACCCTGTTCAGTAAATCCCCCCACTTAAATGTTTTTATCCCTTCTTTTGTCCTGAGAATTTCTGTTCTTGTCCTTTAGTTCCAAAGTGGTGGAAGTTCTTGCTATTGAGAATCAAAAATGTAGGTTGTTTCTAGGCAGCACATTTTGCTCTCCAAGCTTTTACACTGCAACATTTTTGACATAATGAAGAATTGCGTCAGAGCTGAATGTTTATAGGCCAGAGTTGGGGAGTGTAGAAAGCTTTTAAAGTAARTCAAGCTTGGTACATTTACAGAATATGAATCCAATCAGAGAAATAAATCGGGGGGTTGTTTTGTTTCCTCATGCAGAGCTTCCGAGACGCTTGTGTATGCACAGAACTGGGCTGCCAAATCTTAAAATAGTCCCTGTTTTTCAAAATAGTGCCCTGCAATTGAGAAGTTTTTCTGACTGCATGTTGCAGCTGTTCCGAATGTTGTGATAGGAGAAGAGCTGCTGTTGGTACCACTTAGGCCCCTCTCCTTCCACCCTGTCACTCCATGCAGCACGTGCTGTGGAAAGTCAGTGCTATCGAGTAAGAAGGTATTTGTCCTGCTGTAACAGTACCAGTAGGCAAGTCAGGCCTGGGTTAGCCTGGAGAAGGGAAACTTGATCTCCTCTGTGCCTTCAGATTCTTCTCTCAGGAGCAGATATTCTGAGGTTGACATCCCCCTAAGCACCTGATTCTGTTTGAAGTTTAGACTTTCAACATCTCTGTTTAGGAAACAGTAAGAGGTAAATGTAAATTCTGTTGCGATCAGTTGGTGTCTGGAGATTTCTGACATAGGATATACGACATTACCTGTGTCAAAAGTAATCAGCATTAAACTTCAGAATAAAACCAGTTGAGTATGTGGGTTATGTTCATCATTACCTCTTCTAAACTGAAAAAAAAAAAGAGGGCTCTGTGCTGTTTACTTTTAGAATCTAGTCTGCTGAAAGGATGCCAAGAGGTAGCAGCTGAGATGTCTAAAATAGATCCTGGTGGTGTGGAGAATTAACACACGTTAAATGAGGTTTGGTTGTTTTCTGAAGGTGTCTTTCCTTTGACATACACTGATTAACTTTGTAAAACATCTCCCCATTCAGCATCATGATGATTCTGTGATAAATTCTGTGATAAATTGATTTTAAAAGATTTTTTTTGAGTTAAGCTGTAGTTTTATTTGCAAGAAAGATTTTAAAGAGAAAGAAATCTGTATTCATTAAAAGACAGATTGTGCCTTGTAACTTTTTTTAGTAGAAGGACTTCTTGAGGAAGCATAGAAAAAGTAGCAGTACGTGTTAATTTGCTGTTTGAAGTTGTTGCATGTAGAATGTCTTTGAAAGGAAAGTTTGGGCTCTACTTGGTGTATTCTTTCCTTGGAAGTGATGAGGTCTGAACACTAGACTCCTAGATTTTAATTACACCTTATGTTAATTTTTCCACTGAAAACTGAAATTTGATTTCATCTCTAATTCCTTATATCTAAAATGGGATAACTTCATTTTATTGTCTTAACTCATTAAACCGCATCAAGTGTTTGAGTACAACCAAATACTATTATGAATGTTGAGACTTTCTTTTTTCTCTCTTTTTCTGCACAGTGTTGACAATTTTGGACTTGGTCTTTTGCTTCAGACTAAGCAGATAAAGCGCATGATCTCATCATATGTGGGAGAGAACGCCGAATTTGAACGCCAGTATTTATCTGGGGAGCTTGAGGTAGAGCTCACACCACAGGTACGAGTAGGTCTTTGGAAGACTGGTAGTTTCTTTTCATCTAAAATAGTGGTTATGATACGGTTTTCTTAAAGTGTTGTTTTAAAATTGTTTGGCAATCTGAGTGTTTTCTCTGTACGTATATGTGCAGTAAAGACAGATGGTATCTGCCATCTTCAGATAATGAGCTGTAGCTGCTGGTCTGTTAAAAACTGACTGCATTTGTTGTGCAAATTCCTTTTACAGCTTATTGCCTTATGTCCAATTCAACGGAATCATTGAATTGATTCAGTGATTTATGAATATAAATATGCCTTATTGTACAATATTTGGGTTTGGTCGATCTCCTACATGGTAGAAAAGCACATAAAGCAGCCTTGCTTGCTGCTCTGGGCTGCATAGAGGGAAGGAGCCGGGTGATCCCGGGATTAGCAGGTTGGTCTCGTTTCTGTGATTATGGGGACGTGGCACATGCGGTGGCTGCCGCCTGGTGGCCAGGAAGCAAAAGAGGAGCTTTCAGTTCATTGCGAGACTTTAAAAGTTAAGAGAACCTTGCTGTGCTGTGCTCAYCGGCTAAAACTCGACTGAGCTCGTCTCTGTCTAGTGTTACGATTTTACTATTTACAGATTTACTTTCTAGCACCACAGTTGTCGTTGTTTTAGTGCTGCAAGACTGCATACATAGCCTGAATATGGTGAGATCTGTCAGAGTAGCAGCTATTGAGACCTGTTTTTGCAAAATATGACTTCAAAGTCTGCASCATGTCACTGTGTGACATTTCCAAATTTCCATTTCTTCAAACACATAACCTGCTGTGGCACTTCACTGACATTGACTGCACTGCAGATGCAGCAGAGCAGTGCCAGGGAAAATGTGACCCGTGTTTAGAGACTGGATAATTGCCAGTGATTATCTTTTCTTTCTTTTAACTGAGAAAAATATTAATAACATGTATGGTAGGGCACACATGAAATGCAGACAGGTATATATTGGCTCCCCAAACTCCACGGTTGAAGCTGATGAGGAATTTGGGGTGTTAGTATCTGTGATGTGGCTGCACACAGAGGAGAATCAGTGTGAATGCAAAGACCATGCCCCAGGTTCTTGGAAGCCACATTACTCCTGCTGCTTTGGCCATCAGCTGTGCATGCTTCTCTTGGCTTGGAAGGAGTTATTTATTAAGTTTCTCCTGAGATACTGGAGAATTACACATAGAGTTCATATAAAAAGGAAAAGCCTCTTAGAATACGTATCCAAGTGGGAGAGAGAAAACTGTGTGCTCTTCTCAGAGTAATAGCTTGGCAAACAAAATTCAGAAAAGATTTTACAAAAGGCACAACAAAATGCTGAGGCCTGGGAGTCTGTTGAGAGTCTTTGTGCTGTTGAGTGATTCATGGCCAAGTGTGATGCTTCTCTTGCCAAATCCTCTCTCAGTCCCGCAAAGGAAGAACTGATGGGAGGAAGAAATAGATGACGGTCCACTGGGTTTGTAAGGCAAAACTCCAAGTGATGGGATATAATGGAAGTGAAACGTGAGAGTTTGATTTGCTTTCTCTCTGTGGCTAAGCTCTTGAATGTGTTCCTCCGTAGGGGACGCTTGCTGAACGCATCCGAGCAGGAGGAGCAGGAATCCCTGCATTTTACACCAGTACTGGTTATGGGACTCTGGTGCAGGAAGGGGGAGCTCCTATCAAATACAACACAGATGGTACAGTTGCCATTGCCAGCCAGCCAAGAGAGGTAAGGGGTAATTTTGGTGCGAGAAAGTTTTGAACCTGTGTTTCTTATGAATTTCCAGGTCAAACAATAATGTAAGCTTCCCCAGGCCAAGCTTAACCTGGACATGTTGGATTAATATCATGCATGCATGTAATACTGCATGCATTAATTTACTGAGTTATTCTTCACTTGACTTGGTTCTCTCATCTGTTGTGAGGAAGAACTTCTTTACTGTGAGAATGACAGAGCCCTGGAACAGACTGCCCAGGGATGTAATTATTTTTACAAATGAATGTAGTTTTATGGAGCTGTTAAAAATATTAGCTATTTGTCAGTTATATTTTCTGGCTTCGTGCACAATATCGTTAATAATATTGATCATAAATGTAAAAAAGACCAAGCGAAGTTCAGACTGTCAGCTGAAATGAACAGATGATCTGCCTCAAATTTGGATTTGGGGGGTCTCTGCTGATGGGCGTGTGTCTCCCACAGTCGATACGACCTTTTCAACGGCTTTGCTTTAGCACTTCAGTTTTAGTTAGCTGGTAAGTGTACAACAGAAAGTGTGTTAAATTCCAGTAGATGGAGCAGTAGGAACATGCATCTGATTCTCACTATGCTCCAGTGAGGGAGGGACACGGAAGCATCTTTTATGTGTTTTACAGCTTTCCCATGCTTCTGGGACTAGATACTTAAAACTGTAATTTTTCAGCTAAAACAGTGCATAGATGAAAAAATGTAAATATAATAGACTGTGAAATTAATCCCATAAAATAAGTGTTATATGAGAAATCTGTTTGGAGATACACCTCARTAGTGTTTTTTTTCTCTTTAGGTGCGAGAATTTGATGGCCGTCACTTTATTATGGAGAAGTCAATTACAGGAGATTTTGCTCTTGTGAAGGCTTGGAAGGCTGATCGTGCAGGAAACATCATTTTCAGGTATTGCTTGTTTACCAATAGGAAAAGATGCTCTAATGGTTTAGATAATAAAAGAGAATCCTGTCTCCTGTGTGATGGCAGAATAGTGTTTTACTGACTTTTCTTTCATTCCTATTGCATTTCCCTRCTGTCAAATGATACTGCTGTAGAAATAAAATATAATTGCTTTTTCTAATGACTTCTGAGAATTCAAATACAGCTGGTATTAACTACGAATACACTGGTAGTTAAAAATGAGCCATAGCAGATAAAAGCCAATATGTTGACTACAGAGAAATGTAATGACATTCACCTTGTGCTTTCCATGTGAGAGTTTGGAAATTGTTTCTTGGAGGTTCATACCTATTGGAACAGAGAGGAGCTGAGCTTTTCCTGGCCAGTAAATTATGAAAAAGCTTAATTCTGCCTCCAGAAAAGAGAACATTTGAAATGTGTTTAATCTCCCTGGTGTAGAGCGTCATCATATCAATTTAAGCAGCTTTTGTAGGAGAAAGCTTGCATTTGACTTTACAAGCTTAGAAAGGGCTTAACTTGTAGTGAAGAGTTTGTACTAAGGGTAACATTTATTTAGCTTGTTATACTGGTGCTCTGGTTTGTCCTGAGTTGAAGGACGACTTTGCTTATGTTTAATGTCTGTTTTTTATTTGTTTGTTTTATGGCTCTCAGATAAGAAGGTAAGTGCTATAGTAATCAGTTGCAGATTACTGCAAGAACGTGCCAAATGATGCAGTCTGCCTTTGTATTTTAGAGGAAAAAAGGAACTGGGAAAACAACGATAACCCAATTGTCCAGAAAATATGTAGATAATATAAAAAAAACATAATTTCTATATTAACAAACAAGCATGAAATTGAAGGGAATTCCTTTACCTTCCCATGCCCCAGTGCTTGGTATATTGGATTTCCCACTGGAAAGACATGATTGCTTCTGATGGAAAATGGAACTTTCTTGTGTGCACACACATAACTGACTATTAAACCAGGACATGAAACACTGAGAATGTTGGTGGTCTTTCTCCTTTGGTTTGTCTTTATCATTGATCTTAAGCCTCTCCTTCCTGTGCTTCTACCCAGTGTCTGTCTGCTGATCCTTACTTATCTTTGAATTTCTTTCCTGTCTCACTGATATGAAGTAATTGTGTTCTCACGTTCCTCCCTTTTCTTGCATCCTTTGGTCTCCGATTCTCGTGTTACCTCTCCGTTCACCTGTTCCTTTCAGAAGTCCTCCTGTTCCTTTGGCCCTCACACAGTATAGTCCATACCAGAACCAGGTCTCCATCTGGAGACGTAAAATCTTAGCTACTCCTTTCAAATGCTTCCAAATGCTACTAATAAAAGATGGGAACATCAGCATTTAATGTGTTGTTGCATGCATAGTATTGCTGGTTTCAAAGAATTGCTCATAGTAAGTGGTGACCACTTCTTTTATTGATTTTTCCCTTGTGGCCTAGAACAGTGAAACAAACAGGCTGTTCTCATAGCCTGCCAGAGACATCAGAGCAGAAATTGGAATAATCCAGAACATAACACTGTGAAATTTGTAACCTGTAAACTGAAAAGGATTGTGTTTTTTTTGATACCCTGCTGCATTCTGTTTGTGTCAATGGAACCATTCTGTAGCTGTTTTTACCCAGTTTCCCTTTGCTGAGGGCTCCTTGGGCTATCATGGACTCGAGGCTTCCTCATGTCTGCCATGGCTTCCACAGCAGTAGGGAATTATTTATAGTGTGTTTCCCATGACTCTGATACCTGTGGTGCTAGTAGGAGTGGAGTTGGAGTCAGCTGAGCTGTTAGTTACCCTGAAGTTAAGAGCTTCCTTTACATCTCAAGGATGCACTTAAACTATATTTAAATAGACTCATTTGGACCACACAGGCCAGTGTAATTATTTTTGTCTGGTCTTGTTCATGAAGCCACGTTGATTTCATGGTGATTCAATGGTACCAGCTCCATAAGAAAGCAGTTTTAAACAAGGGGTTTTACACACCGTTTTACTTCTCATTTCTCTTTTGTTCCATACAGTATGTTGTGGCTGCCTTCCCTCTAGATTTGTTTCTCCTGAGCAGACTTCTGCAGTGCAACCCCTGCTTTATCCCTAGACAGTTATTCTTCATTATAACACATCATTACCAAGATTAGTGTTCCAAGAACTTGATGAAATAATTCCACCTTGTTTCTCTGCTAGCTCTAAGGATGTGTATATGAGTGTAAAAACTCATAGTCTGGTACTAGGTGCTAGTTCTGCTTAGCCCAGCAGCTTGGCTCTAGGTCTTAGAGCTTTCTTGGAGAAGCTTTTCCTCTTAGGACAACAGCAGAGAGTTCCACTGCATGTGTGGGAATTGCACTTACTGTGGATGCAATCCTTTTTCATGGAGCACTCCTCAGCTTTGGAGTTGTTCTGACCTGGCGTGCCCTCACCTTACAAGTGAAGTGTGGGTTTGTGCCATTAAAAAGATGCTTTTGACCTGGGGACAGAGAAATTGAAGGAGTATCTTGACTGAGGCCACTGCTATCATAGGCAGTCATGTCAGGTCATCTCTTCATCCTTTGAGTGGCTCTGAAATATGTTAAGTCAGCTCTCATCTGAAGTCATTACATCCCTAGGCCATTAGGTACCCGAATGCTGTACTTGGTTATTTTACTTTCCTATGAACTGCTCTGGTCTCTCCTGTATTTAGGAGGAAAGTTGCTGAGGTGCCTGGAGGTCGTTGTTGGAACCTTGGTATCCAGTAAAGAGTCTTCCTGGCTGAGGAAGACTCTGAGTTCCTTGCTGAGTCTAGCGATCCAGTAAGGTACCTTAACATGACAAGTTAGGCTCAGCTAGCTAGTTACTRGATTTCAAACCAGAAAATCTGTGGAAAAAAATTATTCTGTGTTGGAAAGCAAGTTTAGTGTTTTTGTCTTTCCCCTCTCCCCTCTTTTTGTCTGAGTTGGTGTGTTCTTAGAACACAGACTTTAGAGACAAGTTTGATCTTACAGAAAACTACTTTCTCTGAAGTAATTTTACTAACTCGAGACCATATCAAAATGAGGGCAGCTTTATGAATAGAGTGGCAATCAAGCCCATTAACTCTTCTTAACTTGTGTTTGGATTTTTTTTCTTGTTGGAACTTTTTCTCCTATTTGAAAATAATTTTATATGAGTTTCTTACACAGGCAGAGCAGCCAGTGAGATCTTGTGACAGTCGTTGGCTCAGAAGGGCATTCATTTGGGATCAAATGCTGGATTCCTTGCTGCCACTTTCGCCCTCATCTATCTGTATCCCTCAGTTTTAGTTCAGCTTTTGTAACTTTGCATCTCATCCAAGTCACCAACTAATGTCGTATTCACGCACTGACAGAAGAATAAAAACTTAAATCTTTTATGCTTTACTCTTCTTACAATTTTTTCACGTTTACACAGTCGTGGAGGGGACCACCAGACAAAAAACCTTCTCTCTCCTTAGCCTCTGTTAGAGGCTTTGCCCTTGCTGTGTTCCTTGGGCTGCAGTTTTCATTTTCTGCTTCCATGTTAGAGATCATCTTAAAACTGGCTGGTAGATTTTGCGCCTCAGCATTTGTCCGACTCCCTCCTTCCCCGAAACCACGAGAGAGCAGCAGCGCCCAATGTTCCGTATGGCTGTAGCACTAGGAATGGGGTAGGAAAAAAGGAGGACGAAATGAGAAAAATAGAGCTGAGGGGAGAGAAAAAAAAAAAAAAGGCTTACATAGAAAAGGAAAAATGAGGCTTTAGCAAACCAAGGTCTTTCCTTTTTATCGGGAGAGGAATTCCATTCCGGATACAGAGCACAGAAGTCCMTGCCTAACATAGCTCACGGCAAACACTTGGAACTCAAGTTGCATGCATTTTGGTGAAAAAAAAATCGAGAATGGTATTTTTTAAAAAGAGGAGAAACAATGAGAAGCTATCAGTGGAACTCTACCAAAAGCATGTATCACAGGTGCAAATATTATGCTGCACGGCTGTTTGCTGTCTGCAAAATAAGGGGCTGACATGAGTCTTCTGTTGCTCCTTGAGTCCAGCAGGATCTGGGTGCAGATCCTGGCATAGTTACTTGTATCTTGTGTTCCTTTTATGTGAACTAATATCAGAGGCTTTTTAGCAAGTGCCAAAACTGGCACTTTTTTAAGCTTTTTTAATCAAGAGAATTGGTTTAGATTTATTCTTGGGCGGAATGCTACCCAAAGTCCATATAGCTGCCTAGACTGAATTATGAAGGCATGTGTGGGATTTGAGAGGTTTCTGCTGCTCTTGGATCTGACAGGCAAAGATAGCAGTAGCACACTCAATTTCAATAAAATAACGTGCTGATTGAAACTTTAAAGGAGCTGAAGTTAATACTTGCCATGTAGCAAAATACGATTTAATTTCATATGCATTCTACACCATTCTGGAATATTTTTCCTATTTTTACTAGTTTCTTGGCTGTTTRGATTTGTGGTGCTTATTCTACAGAGATACTTGCAGTAGTTAATTCTGAGAGGTGTTTCCCTGTAGGTTTGCAGTTTTCAGTACTTAYATATATATTTTTTTTTCTTTCACAGGAAAACTGCAAGGAACTTCAACCAACCTATGTGCAAAGCTGCCAAGACAACTGTRGTGGAGGTAAGGAGCTGAAATGCAGCAAGCCCTAGTGGGAACAAACCCCCTTGGTTTGTGTGGCATTTTGGGGACAGAGTTCCTTTCCTTGGCTGATTTTGGTGGATTACATACTATGGACAATGGTCAAATTGTTTTTTGTTTTGCTAGTGGTAGGAGTAGCCAGTTCATGGTGCTCAATTTCAATGAGTAGTTTATGGGAGTTCCTGCAGTAACTGTTTTTCTGATCCTGGACAGGCCTTTGTGTTCACTGTGATTGGCCTTTGGGAGGGAGAATATGGAGTAGGCTTCGAATATGTAGAAGGATGTTAAAATAAAAGATTATGTGGATAAAAGAAAAAGCATTAAGCTTGGGCTCCGCCTGAGAAGAATCATATGCAAAACTTCCTGACAATAGAGAATAAATACATGCTAGCCTAGACTGAGCAAATCATGGAGCTTTCACAGTGGAGGTCTTTAAATTAGATAAATATCAGTCATCACAGAGAGATTTGGTCATACTTCCAGTAAAAACATGGACTGTATGATCTAGAAGTTTCTTTCAATCTCTGTTCCCCTCTTCTCCCCTCTTTTTTTGGTCATTTTTTCCTTTTTGTTTAAAAATAAAAGGTTTTAAAGGTGTGGAACTGTYTACACTGGAAATATATTGGTGACTGAAGAGTTGCTAAGACAAAATAATGTCTAAAAGGTAGATTACTGTACTGGCATTTTCTTTCTAAATAAGATTTTGCAATAAAATCAAGTTTAATAAGTTCTAAATGGAAGAGGCTTTTTTTTTTTCTTAAAAACTTATCTGGAAAAGATGTTTGTTATATAAACATCCCTGTTTAATTCATTTTGGAACTTGAGTTATTTCTTTGTGTTGCACAGAGCTTCTGCAAACAATACTCTGTGATTTCCCTTAGATTTTGTTGCTTGAAATACAGTGACAATTCAGCAACAATATATGAATTTTCACAATTGGTTTCAAAGAAAGGCTTAAAATATTTTTTCTATTCAAAAATGAAATAAAGAATCCTTCATCATTTCTTTTGCTTCTATTCACTTGCCCTTCATACTTTGTTCATACTCTAGTGTTTAGAGAATTTAAGTAGATCAAAGCCTTCCACCTACATTCCATCTCATTCTTTCTACTGTTCTTTCCACATATGATGGGGTAGAATTTTCTTGTCAGTGAACAGTAATTATGTGACATCCTTCTTGCTATAATTCCACTTAGGAGTATTTAGTAGCTCTGCCATGAACCATGTCCACCTTGAATTTGTTGCATTTTYGATACCATTTAAAACCTGATAGGCTTTTTTAGAATAGCACACTAATATTATTTTTCCACTTTATTTTTTATGGACAAGTTAACAGGCAGAAAAGCAAAACTACGGGGTTAGGGAAAGCAAGCATTTCAGATCAAATACAGTGCCTTATTAGCTGAGCTTATACATGCCTTACTTCCAGAYTGAATCCTGCGTGTTGTGCTAGGAATTGAGAGCTTGGCTCTTAGGCATTAGAAATATCTCGGTGTGGCATCTGGACCATCCTGAGCACTGAGTGCCATCAGCCTGCAGACACCCACAGCTCATCACTGGGCAGCTGAGCAGGCCGAAGGGAGTTGCACCCCTGTTTGCCACTTGTCTCCGATACTACTGCTTCCTTGGGATTTTTTTATTCCACCGGTCTTTGCCCCCCTTTAGTTTCTGATCATTGATTAAAAACCTGGAATGTCATTGAGCACAGTGAGGTCCCTGTCAAGGAGAATATAAATCACTGGAAATCCTATCTCAGGATATCTCTTAATGCAGTGAAAGTGGGAAGTGCATTGGGAATTGACTGCTTTTGTTAACCTGTCCTTTTAAAGGTAAAATACACAGGCAAAACTATGATTTTTTTTTAATGCATTAAACTGGCTGTTCCCTAGTTTAGGTCACTCTGGGAATTTATACTGTTTTAGCTGAAATGTGGACATTTAATAAGGCACTTAATTTTTGTAAGAGTTCAAAGGTGAGAGAGATTGGCAGCATTTAGAAAYGTAGAGAATAAAAGCAAAGAGACTGAAAAGAAAAGCGAGAGGGGGAAAACAAAAGAAGGCCCAAATGCTGGTTGCTGTCACTTGCATAAAAATGTTACCATGTTGTAAGGAATGGTACTGTCTGTGCACAGAGAGACTCCCAAGGGAAATAAATCTGTTACCAGTCATGTCTGTGACACCATGTTGAGGRCTGTCGGTTTCAGAATTTCCTTAGAGCAAATTTCAGATGAAAGTACCTGACCCTCAGCCTTGTTTGTTTGAGCCAGTAAAATGGTYGGAGGTAGCTGTACTGAGCTAAATGCAGAGATTAGAAATGTGTTGAATGTAACCTTCTGCTAAAGGCAATACAGGAGGCTCGCAGGCCTCAAATTTTGGCACTGTTTGGTTTGCTTTTGTTTTTCTAAGTGCGAAATGAAACCTAGTAACATGTGAGATAGTAAGGGTCCTTGCTGAGGCCTAGATAACTGTAGAGGGTTGGTGATGCTGTATGTAGAGGAATGTGTAAAGAGGATGCTTTAAAGATGACCAGTTCTGAAGGTCAAAAACAAATTTTAACAAAAAGGCATGATCCACRTTATCTGTAAGGTATTTGTTGCGGAGAAAACAGTTAAATAATTCAGCAAGATTAGTTTCTTTGGCTTTATCTGTATGTAAAAACCAAATGATACAGGAGTCGTGCTCTTTTTTAGTTCTCCAGTGTTCCACTCTCAAAAGATACTGCATTTGGTATATTCACATCTCATACATCTTGTGTGGGCACTTGCAGTTAGAGCCCTAGCTCTGCATGCGGACCCGGGCCTGCTGGGCACGTTCTGCCCGAGTCCTTCGGGTCGACTTTCAGAGCTGTGAATTACACTGCTCTGGCATAGACACTCCTGGGGCGAGGACAAGGGAGCTGGGAAATTAGGCAATCTTAAAAACAAAAAAGGCACTCAAGTTCTACACAAGTCCTGAACATCTGTACAGAGGCTGAGAAAGGGCTTGATGTGAAGAAACGTGTAGGTTTGTGTGGCCTTACACACACAGCGGCATTTCAGATGCTGTCTCCTGCATGAGAGATTTGCCTGCTGAGTTTCTTGCTCTTAGGCCTCTCGGCAGGTCCATGCCCCACGTTAGGAACTGTGTGGTAAGAAAAGACATGGTGTTTCAGGAGGGTGTGTGGTGGCTGGGACGTGAGGTCCTGCGAGCAGTGTCCCACTAGGGACAGTGTTGGCTGCGGTGCGTCTTTTCAGAAGCAAATCCCAAGGAAACCCAAAGCCACAAAAAGAAAAGCATGATGTTACTGTGGCGGGTGTGGGTGTCCTGACAACAGGAGAGGTGGAGGGTGGTTTATTCAGACTCTGACTGCCCCAGAGAGCACATCAGCATCTGTAATGGCCATAAACATCCCTAAGCTGATGGCTGTTCCCTGCCACGGTTGCTCTTTGCTGAGAGACCTCCAGAATATTGTTCCTGCTGTTCGGCTTTAGGTCTCAGCCACTGCCACGGTATAAATGTTTGATAGTAGTAATATTCTAATAGTCAGTATGTTTAAAAATATTTATAGACAGGCTGTTTGAATATCCACTTTGAATAATTTTTTTGTTCAGCCTGCAAGAGGATGGCCAAATACATCTCCCTGTGTAAACAGCATTTCCACCTCAAGCAATATCAGGGGAGGAAAGAGGAGAGTGTACTTTCTCATACAAACGCATTAAATAAAAGTCATTAAGCCTTGTGTCTTATCTCTGGTTGCCCAGCAACGGCAGGGCCACGTCAGCGGCGCCATTACCGCAGGTCCGGGCTGCGGCGCCGCRCTGAGGGCCAGCGGCAGCCGCGGCCGCGCGGGAGACCTTCGGAGCCCCTTGTCTGCGCTCAGTCGTGCCAGAGCTTCGCTGAGAAAAGGAACGGCGTTTTTTGAGCCTGATTCGCCAACATTTTTAACACCAACATGGCTTTCCTCAGGTGCATAGTTCTCGGCTGAGAAAAATTTTCAGAAAATTTTCAGTGTGTCTTTTTTTTTTTCTTTCTCCTGTAGAAAGCCTCTAGACTGTATTTGAAGGCAGAATAAGAATCTCTTTTTTTTTTTTTCTTTTTTTTCCCCCCCTCACGTGAGTGCCCCAGCCATAGGACTTAAAACTCTACCGTGGTGCAGGAGAGACATCTGAAATGGGAGTGGGCACTGATTCTGTGTGGGCATGTTTTCTGAGGGACCAAAGTCAGTGTTTGGGGCCCAGGAGGACGGGATACCCCTGTGTTTTGGCTTCAGTGCAAACGCTTGAAGCACCGGGATGGCTACTGAGGGGGAAGCCCAGCAAATTTCTGTGCAGGACAGGTTTTTGAGAATCCCATTTGGTACAGGGTGGATATTGAGCTGCTTGGTCCAGCCACACTGTCAGAAGTTATGGCACAAGCAGCAAGAGAATTCCAGCTGCCATAGTAATTTGTTAGGATGAGTATGGAAAACTGGATGTTAAGCTCTTAGCGGATAGGCAGGGACTGAGACTGCATGGTTGGGTTTACGTGCCTAAGTTCTGGCTAAATTCTGCATCAGAGATGTTTGTCAGTCTGCATTTAGCTAAACTTAAAATTAATAAGGTGAGTCTAAGTGTAGGATACGGACATCCATTATAATCTGTTTTTTCACATGGAAATGATTAGAGGGAACACCTGAGGGGGAGCAGCTACAGAACAGCTGTGAGATACAAGCTCATGATCCTTAGAAAGCACAGAAGGGAGAAGAGCAGCATTGCAGGAATGGCTTTCAGGAGCACTGACCTCATGAGCTTGTAGTTTGGTAGTCAAAGGCTTCTAGGAGGTAAAAAGTAGTTAAGGACAGACCTTGTTAAAGGCTCCAGAGCAGACTTTCCCACAGAGAGGAAGTGTTGGACGAGCAGCAGGAGGCGAATTTAAGGTCATTGCCCTTGTCACTATCGCCTCAAACACAAACAGAAAGTCATGGAAACTGACACTGAAGTCAGGTTTCTGAGGAGGACCATTTAAA